ATGGCTTATATAAAAAGCAAATGTAAGACCAGGAGCAGAGACTTACGGAAGATGTAATGTTCATTTTATGAAAATTATAGCTGGGCGGTGGTGACGCACACCTTTAATCCCAGCACTTGGGAGGCAGAGGCAGGTGGATTTCTGAGTTTGAGGCCAGCCTGGTCTACAGAGTGAGTTCCTGGACAGCCAGAACTACACAGAGAAACCCTGTCTTGGAAAACTATCAAAAAGAAAGAAAGAAAATTATAAATTATTCACATAGTAAATAAATGACAACTCCTATGTTAGAGATGATAGGTTCTAGTTAATCTTGTAGAGAAAGTTACAGAACACCAGTGCTTGTAATTTCGGTACCTGATAAATGTCAGTAGAAGGCCATTTAAGTAATAGGCAATTTAGAAATTTTAAAAAGAGATGAAAAACAAGAAAAGAAAGAAAATGTTCATATCTTTAGTTTGAACAAGAATTATCGTTTGTTCAAACAAAAAAAATAATGTTTATGATTTAGCTTTCTAGTACTTAGGAGGGAAACAGTAACAGAGAATTTATATTTTAAGCTTCCAAGTTAGGTGCATTAACTTAAATTATTTTGTTCTTTAGAAATCACATAATTAAGAAGATTGAGGCAGATAATGAAGGGAAAGCAAGTGGACTGAGCAGTTGGAATGACACAGTGCAAATGATGGTGTTAGTTTTCAGGATCTGGAACATACATTTCCAGGAAGGAAACAAATGGAGTAATGCATCCCAGAGACGCCCTTGCCCTTCTCATTTTTCATGGACACACCCACAGCTCTAATGGTGCCTTAAAGACACAGGATTGCATTATGCCTGTGGGCAACAGTTTTGCTAACAGACTTTCTTTAGATTCTGCCCAGAAGGGGAATAGGGCAGAGAAGAACAAGACAGACTTCAGAGACAACAAAATGTGCGAGTAATATGATAGTTTAAGAGGTTGGAAATCAAACTGACTGTACTTAAATTCCAATTTGGGCACTCACCAGCTGTGGGACTTAAATTACTAATCTGTATAAGTCGGGGTGATAGTAATTTTTCCCCACTGTGCTGTGAGAATTAATCTAACTCCCTGTAAACCTCTTGTGTTGTATTACTTATCAGGAACATTGGGTAGTAGTAGTAGCCATTGTAATTGTTGTTTCATTAAATAAAATTTGTAGAGTTGTGAAGAATGGAGCTTATCAAAGCTAAGTATGTGAAACTACACATATCAAAATTGTTATAGATAATCAGATTTATCTTATAAAATTATAATTTTAAAAGAAGACAGTTAGAAAGCAGAACTGGGAATAATACTATGGTGCTGTTAGAAGTGGTTTAAAATTCTGTCAGATAACTAGAGAAACTGAAATTTGTCTATTAAGGTGGCATACATACAGTCCATAATATTTTCTGTATTATGTTAAGATACCATTCTTCATAAATGTGATTTCTAAAATCAAGTAAATCTGTTTTTAATGAGAAGAATTAGTTTGGGTTTGAATGTTCTTCTTTCCTTTTAGGCAAATTGAACGCACCCAGATATCAGAGGTCTGTGAGGCATGTTGATATTGATTGCTTCTTTGTCTCGGGGGGTGTAGGAATCAACAGATCTCAAAGGTCTGTATTCTTGTTTAAGAAAATTGATACATATGAATGTGTGTGTGTTTGTGTGTGTGTGTGTGAATTGATGATAGTGTAGTCTTTGGAAAGTATTTTGATTTTCCTCAGTCAAATCGATTCCTTTGTTCAAATTTGCTGGACTCCATTATCACAGGTGTAGGGAAATTAGAAAACTACTGCTTGGTGTAAGTTGAACTATTCAGCTGGGCTGTGGCGCACACTTTTAATCCCAGCGCTTGGGAAGCAGAGGAAGGTGGATTTCTGAGTTCGAGGCCAGCCTGGTCTACAGAGTGAGTTCCAGGACAGCCAGACAGCCAGGGCTACACAGAGAAGCCCTGTCTCGAAAAACCAAAAAAAAAAAAAGAAAGAAAGAAATATACAGAGAAGAGTATCTTAAATTGAGGACTCTGTTATCTCACATAAATGAGGGCTTCTGGATATTTTCCATATCTTTTTATTGTTTGTTAAGGGGAAATTTCTGGTATCCTGTGTCTTCAGACTTTCTGTTCTTCTCCTGTTCAGATAATTCTTCTCCCTCAATGTAGGTAGGTAAACATACTAACTTTTGGATTGTGATAATTTTGTATCATTGAGTTGTGTCATCTGGGCACTATGTATTTTTAATGAAATTTCGGGTTTGTGTGTATACTACTTATTAGTATTGTAAACATTTATTTAGGATTTTTCTTTAGTTTTTTCTTGACAAGAGAGCTACATTAGCATTTTCTTTTTAAAGTCAGTTTTTCTCTTATGTGAAAATCTTAGAAAATTCTAGATTCCTAATAAGGATTTATTTTTGTCCTAGGTAGTTGTGACTCAGCACTGAAAGGGATTTTCTTTTGAATTTGCAAGGACTGATTTTAGCCTAGGAACAGCTTACCTTCTAGTATATTGTTCTTTTGTCTAGTTTATGTGGAGAGGCAGGAAAGCTTTGTGTCTTACGTATTTTTTTGTTCTGAGTCTCCTGCCCTCTAAGTGTTATTTCACTTGGAAATAAGTTTTACAACATTATAGTTGTCTTGTAAATTAATACATAAAAGGAAATGATACATTAAAGTAATGTTCTTAACCAAAGCAAAATCTGGAGGTCTGAAATTCGCATTTGCTTATATGTTAAAAGTCAGATTTTCATTGCTATGCTTGAATCTCCAATTTATTTCTATTGCTGTGAAATTAAAAAATAAATATGGAGGACAAACATATTTATACCGTAATTATAAAAGTTAGTTTATGGTTTTTTTCATTGTGTACTCCTACAATCTGCACCTGGGATCTGAGTTGCATACTTTTCATTGTAAGTAATCAAAAGCCATAGAAAACGGACTCTACTTATTTTAGATTGAGTCCATTTATCAGAAATGTTACTGGAGCCATGCTTGGTGGCAGCATGCTTTTAGTCCTAGCAGGTGAATCTCTGTGAGTTCTTGGCCAGCCTGATCTACGTAGAGAATTCCAGAAGACCCTGTCTTAAGAAGAAAGAAAAAACCAAAAAAGTTAGGTGCTGTTATATGGTGATGAGTATATTAGCTTATATAGATTTTGCCTAATTGATTAAAGAACACATGGCATATATTTAAAATCCCATGAAATAATCTCCATTACATGTTCTTAACATGATTTTGTACTTAGAGAAACTATTTAATTTTTTTCTCACAGGAAAAACAGTGGCTTTTACAAGTAACCATGGCATAGGAAGGTCACCTTTTCATCCTGGTTCTAACACCCAGCTGGAGTGGCGGTATTACCAGAATAAAATTCGGAAAGGAAAATCAGGTATACATGAGGAAATTAAAGTCGTAGTATACCTAGAGGTGGCCTCTGGATGTTGCTGGTGGTGTTGGTGCTTTAGGAATAAAAATAGAGTTAGAATAATTAGCTCTTTCAAGTTGAAGGTTTTAAGGATGCTAGTGATTGTAGAGAGAATATCTTGTGTATTTTATGGATACATCACCTTTCAATTAAAAACTGTGGCATTTAGGAAAGGGTAGCATAGAAGGTGGGATGTCCAGGAAGCAGAAAGGGTTTTGGGATAGAGCCAGGTATGAGAGATTTGCTCTGGAAAATGTATCAGGACAGACACATGGTACATGAGCCCAGATAACCAGCCATGTGACAGAATGTACATTTCAGTAAGTGGGTTATAATACATTATGGCCTAGTCAGAGAAGGGCCTACCTATGTAGCCAAGGTGTTTGTAAATTTGTTTTGAGTCTGAGTCTTATTTCTGGGAGCATGGGGCTGGGAGGAAGAACCAGGTCCAAACTTCTAAAAGTGACAACTTGTAGATTTTGTTTTGTTTTGTTTTGAATCAAAACAAAGTCTACATCTGAGCAGATGAGCAGTGTACAGTTACGTTTCCTGGAATTGGATGATGGTGTTTTCCTGGAACTCAGTCTACTTTGTATAAATCTAGATTGAGAATGAAAAGCATGGCATGATTCTTTCGTATTAACTAGATGAATTGTTAGTCATTTGGCTTATGTCACAGTGAAGACACTGAAGTTTGTGTGCTTCAGTATTTTTAAGAATTTAAAGGTAGACACAGTGGTACCCAGTCTCAGCCTTTGGGAGATGGCACCAGGAGAATAGTACTTTCAAGGGAAAGTGGCAGAGTAGAGAAACCATGATTCAAAGAAGGATACAACCTCTAATGGAACTAGAATCTAAATGCCAGGATTATGAAATGCCTCATTTGCATGAACTTGTTTCTTAGAAGAAATATTTTCATAGCTGCCTCGGAAAACTAGTCTCTTTACAATCATAGCATCTTCATGCGTTTTTACTATCCTGCATTACAATTCCAAAGAAATTGGCAAGTCTTTCTCATTGGTTTCCTTGTGGAATAAATTGTAAAACCACAAATATTTAAAAAAAGTAAAACAACCAAAAAACAAAAAAACATTCTTTTAGAAAAACATTAACCAGAAGACATATAGAACAATAGAAAGGATCTAGACTTTGGTTTTTAGCCCAGTTACTTCTGTTCCCTAATTTGTCAGATATAAAACACTGGGATTACTTTAGAAAAGACCCTAATGAGACAAAGCAGAGTCTGCTCATCTGGATTTCTGATCTGGAATTAGTCATTCTTGGTTACAATCATCTGCTTACACAGTATGCCTTGGGAAGGGTAATTGTAGACACACATTTATATTTTATATGTGTATTAGTTTTCAAGTTTTCTAAGGCTTTTATTAGCTGTTAAATGTTTTCAAAAAAATTTTGAGATTTAGTGATTTGTATTAGCAGATCATGGGTTACTTCCTGAACTTGTTAAATCTTTGTTTCATTGTCTATGGTTAGTTTCTTAAGCACACTTTTGTATGAGGTTGCTCTTTCTTTCTGTATTTTCTACATTGTGTTATTAAAAAGGTAAAACTGTGCTACCTTTCCAGCAGCATGTATACTAAAATTGGAATGATGCAGAGAGGATTAGCATGGGCCCTGCGCAAGGATGACATGCAAATTTGTGAAGTGGTCCATTTTTTTAAGATAAGATATCCAATAAAAAAAATAAAAACTTAAGTTCTAGAAAGCAAGAAATTTATAGCTGAAGGAAGTACACAGTTCTTGTCTCATGTTGAACACTAAGCAAATTCTTAATGAATATCTGCCAAAATGAGAAAAAATATACACACGTGCATGTTTGATAGTATCTCTGAGTTCCTTTGTTGCTCAGTCTGGTGGGTAGAGTCTAAGTCAGCTGCTTGTTTGAACAGTCTGCATCTAGATTTTGACCTTGGTAGGCACTTGCTCTTTGAAAGTGGCAGGGAACTAATCCTCTTTTGTCATTCTTTCTATCACTATCTGTCCATACATGGTTTTGAAGCAGAATATTTTCTTTGTTTACTTAATTGCCTGCATCTTGTTAGTCACTGGATTTTTATAATATTTAACAGCCTTTTATAATTCATACCTCCTTCATTTCTGTTGAGTGGTGCACCAGAAGCCAAATATTACAGGAAATGTTTAAGTTCCACTTGGTATTGAAAACTGACAAAATGTGATTTTCTTCTCTTTAGAAAAACTAGTTATAATACCTTGATACTCTCTCTGTTCTTGTTTTATGTTTATGACATTCATTTTTATATCTTAAGATCTTTGACTCATTTGGAGTGTATAAAAATATTTGCTATACATAAAACAACTAGATTGTCTTTTATTAAGTTTACAGTCAACCCTGTGCCTAGAACTTGTCTTCCAATTCCTTTTGTCTACTTTTCCAGATATTTCATTCTCTGGGTCATTATTAGACATAGCATCAAAATTACATGTACTATGAGTCAGTTTAGAAGTTAGTATCTTTGACTTCTACACACTAGCTCTATGAAAATCAGGTCTAGTATTTTGACTTGCATTGTTAGATGAGACGTCTTTAGTGGTTTTTGTTGGAAACTGATTTCTTGTTTCTTATATTCATAAATTAGGTCAACGTAGCCAGGGCATCTGGTCCATCTGTGACTTCTTTTGTGAGCTGTTTCTTGAATAATCTCTTTGATGATTTCATTCAGAGCTATTTAACCTCTGCTCATGGTTGGGGCTTTTAATCCCTTCCTGGATTCTCAGGTTGCAGTTGTTTTCTGTCCTGTTAGCAACATTAGTTTTCATTCCAAAGAGCAACAGTTTAAAAATCGTATTAGTTATAGACTCATTCTCATGATTTCTTTTTCACACTCTTGTGTCTTGGCCTCTGATTTCTTCAACCATTCCTCCACAAACTTTCTCCGTGTGCCTGTCTAGTTTTCTCCCCAGTGAGGACTGTTATCCTTGTATTTCCATGAATCTCACATGAAGTAGCTCACTCTGCTGGTGGAGAAACCCGTGCACTCTGTTGCACTGTGGAACAGGTCAGCAGTGAAGAGAAAAACTGTGGTGCTGCCTCTCAGGCAAGGGCACTGGGGATGCATGGACCACACTCAGTGTTTACTTCCAAGATGGACTTTCTTTAATTTCCAAATGAGACTCTTATTTTAAAAGTCCTTCAAATATAATCATGTAGGTTCCTTTTAAAGCTTAATTCATGGTGGTGACTTTGGAATATAGTAGATTGTGGCTGTTGTCTTTGTTTAGTGGCATTCTCTGTTGGTTTGTTATTGACAACCCTTAAATTCTTACAGTTTAGATAGTGGACTGTTGCAGAAACACTGGCTAATTTACTCACTTTCCGTCTTGAGTTTGTAAGAATGTGACACATATTTACATTTTACCAGAAGCCATGGCTATGGGTGCTAGGATCTGAAAATATTTGTATGGGTTGTATAATAGGCAAAGATGTTGATGGTTATTGTTCAGATAAGGAAGAGTTATTGTCAGAGGTTAGTCTGGTGCTGCTTGTATTTAAATGTTACCTACATACTGGCTCTTAAGATCTAGTTGCCCCTGAAGAGTAGATCCTCAAGTACCCCAAGTGATGCTATGTAAACTTGCTCCTGAGTTTAACTGGTCAATAAAAGGATAGAGCCTGTGATTGGGCAGTAGAGGGAGAAAGGTGGGACTTGCAGATCGAGTGGAGGGTCTCAGGAGAGAGGAAAGGGGGACCAAGGGAGGAGCAAGTCACCATGTGAGGAGATGGACCTGAAGCACATGACCTGGAGAACCAGCAATTAACAAGGGACATCATGGTTGGGAAATAGGTCAGTATAGCTCTAAACCTGCCTGATCTAGGCTTACAGCTTGTAAACAAAATACCTGGATTGTGTCTCTTTTATATGGGCTACCTAGAGTGTGTAATTCCTTTTATAGTTGGCACCCATGACCTTGAGATTAAGAGTCTCCTGTTATATTGACTGAAGCCAGATATCATATTGTGTTTTTCTGGTGGTGCAATAACTTGGCTGTTTTTCATAGAGCATTGATGCCCTTAAATAAGTGAAAAGGAGATAGTGAATAGTTTTTAAACTGTGTGCTATTGCAGTGTACTCACAATAGCTATGTTGGGAATTAGCTAAAGTGATAGTTTTGGGTCTTGTTTTACTACCAGTGTTGTTTGTAGAGTAGAGACATGACTGAGGTTGTGTGTTAGGAATGCAGTATGTTTTTAAATGTAGTAGAAAGAGTTGTATAAAAGCACACATTATCTTTAACCTAATAGGATTATTCAAAGACAATGACCAGAATTTTGCTTTAACATACTCCTCAATTATTAGTGAATCTCTTTATGGTTCAGGTATCATGTAGCCAGTTGGCTCTCTAGGCCGAGCACTTTTTTTATACATCTGGATGAGACTGCAAATTTGGTCTGGATATTATAAATGTTGGTAAGCTGTTTTTCTATTGAAACTGGAATTATGTTCTGTAAAGCAGTTACTGTTGATTGTAATTGAGCTCAAGTTTTTTAGTTGTAGGTGCAGTTGTTTCATGAAAAGTAGAAAATAATGCTATTAGACTGTTTTTACCTTATGTGTATAAAAGAAAAACTTTGAGGTTTAAGATGAAGTGTCATTATAGTATATAAAAATACTTTCCAGGCAGTGGTGGCACACACCTTTAATTCCAGTATTTAGGAGGCAGAGGCAGGCGGATTTCTGAGTTCGAGGCCAGCCTGGTCTACAAAGTGAGTTCCAGGACAGCCAGGGCTACACAGAGAAACCCTGTCTCGAAAAACAAACAAACAAACAAACAAAAATTATGTGATATGCATATATATGTGTGTGTGCATGTATGTATGGATATAAGTGTATAGATGAGATTATCTAGTTAGTTACATTGGCTCAGTTTCTGGATATGAGAAACAGGAAACCAAAGTTTCTAAAAATGATTAGCAAGTTATTGTTTAATCAAATGGCTGGCAGAAACTTGAAATTTCTTTAGCATATTAGTTTTAAGTTTAATTTCAAGAAACTTCTTTTCTGTTAACATTTTTCTATTACAGTGAGCTGCACAGTTCTCCTAAGGCAAGGGGGATGGACTTCATCTCCCTCATCGCTTTCATCCTTGCCAACTCCAGGGACTGTGTGTTAGAAGGCAATAGGATGGTTTACATTTATTAAAACAGGACAGTTTGAGGATTTTTTTTTTTTTTTTTGGTTTTTCGAGACAGGGTTTCCTCTGTGCAGCCCTGGCTGTCCTGGAACTAACTCTGTAGACCAGGCTGGCCTCGAACTCAGAAATCTGTCTGCCTCTGCCCCCCAAGTGCTGGGATTAAAGGCATGCGCCACCCCCACCTGGCTCAGTTTGAGTTTATTGTGACATGTTTTTATCTTAACTATTGCTGAAGAGTAAAAAAGAAACAATTTTACTAGTTTTTTTTATGAATATCGAAATAATTACAGGTATTTGGGACTTAAACATTTACACCCGAAAATAATAGAAACCATATTTCTTTAATAAAATTTAAGAAAAATAAATTTAAAAATAATGATTAAATATTATTTTAATTCAGACATACCAGAGTCATCAATAAGGAAGAATCTAGATTTTACACAAAGAAATTAAATTGATTCTTTTTTTCAAATGCTGAAATTGCTTCTTGTAGTTATGAAGGCAGGTATGCAGAAGCTAAGTTAGTTCTAATTCATAATGGATAGTCAATTTATATATATTTTTAGAATGATTAAGTCTTGGGAGTCAATTTATGATTTCCACATATCAAATGCATATTATTAAAGGAAATATTTTTGCCTGAGTCCTTCAATTATAGTGCCATGTAAATAATTTTAAATAATGTAATAGTCTCTAATGATAGACCCTCCAGTAAAAACGAAACAAAAAAATATAATAATAGACATCATCATGTTTATTATCTTTCAGATATAAAAAGGTAAGAAATTGAAAGCTACATCTTCTTTATTCTTTTATTTTAATGGTGTTGGTGAAAGGTTTATTTGTTCAATCTTTCCTTTGGAAATAAAAAATCTTGCCTCACAGCTATCCATGACTGCAATTCTGGGCAGTCCATCTCTTCATGGACACAAGCCACACATGTGGTGCATAGACATACATTCAAGAAAACACATACACAGAAAATTAAGGTAAAATTGAATTTCCTTCTAAATTATAAGCAAACTAATTTCCACCATTGCTTATGACTGATGTTTACATCCATGTAGTGGGTAAACTGAGGCAGGCAGCCCTTGGGGGTCAGTGCTTAGAGCTACTGATGGGGTTGGATCCAGATACCCATGAGGCTGCTGCCAAAAGCAGCCAGCGATTAGAGATGTTACTCAACAGACATTTTTCTGAGGAAACAAAGCTTAAATTACTGGGGCTGGAACCCTCTATGGACAGCAGAAAAAACTATGAATTCTTAACTCCTTGGGACAAGTGAGAAAGACCAGTAAAGAGAGAAAATACACACGCACGCGCTCGCACGTGCACACACACACACACACACACACACGCACACACTGAATGGATGGACCAAAAGGCAGAGTGCAGTAACTTCATACACACAAATATATGCATGCATACATACATACATACATACATACATGAATACATACAGAACTGTAGGCAGAGATACACTCATTCACACACAGAATGGTTAGAGA